CTACTGATCTGTTTCTTCTCATTGGGGAGTTTAGTCCATTCACTTTAAGGGTTATTACTGAAAGATATTAGCTGACTCCTTTCATTTAATTGTTTCTTTCTTTTTGAATTTTTTTTAAAAAAATGTTTTTAGTTATTTACTTGGAACAGGGTCTCACTACAAAGCTCAGACTTGCAGTGATCCTCTTATCTCAGCATCCCAAGTGCTGGAATTACAGGCATGTACCATCATGCCCAGTTTCAGTGTCTGGCTCAGCACAGCATTGGTATGTACTGGGGATTGAACCCGGCTCCTTGTGCTTGGCAGGCAGGCACTTAGACCACTGAGCTATCTCACTGGCACCTAGTTTCCTCTTTGTATGTGTCCTTCTCAGCCTGACCTTCAGTTTCTCGGGGTTTTTGAAAAGCCCGTGCCTTTTCTGTGCCTGTCTCTTATAACATCTCCTACCCAGTCACTGCCTCTGGTGTAATTTTTCTGTTGTTCTGTGGTTAGGGCTTAAATAATTAAGCCCATCCTCAGATGATTATTGGTTAAACCTTCTGAAATAGAGTAATATTTGGGCTCACAAATGCTTCTGTTAATGAACAATTTGGTTCACAAAGAAAAGGATTATACATAATTTTGCTTCCAGTTGTGAATTCACGTCAAGAGACAAACATGACTACAGCCATCTTTCTTGCTCTTCCACATGGTCACAGCCTTCTCTAGTTGAGACTGTGGTCACACACAGACCTATACACACTCGCAATGAACTTTTCTTTTTTACACATGTAGCACTGGACAGTATTATTCAGTCCAGCCTGGCTCCAAAGAAAGTGCAGAGTGAGCATGGTGGCAAAACGAAAATACACAGTAGTAAATGAGGGTGACAGGAAAATTAAAGCAATAATGAAGGTACTAAGAAAGTACAGAGCAAGAAGGATAAGAAGGTTTTGAAGAAAATAACCATTAAATTGAAGAAGGAAATTGTAGAAAAGCACAGATTATTCATATGACTGACTTATCTGGCCTTGAAGTAGAAGGTGGAGAAGTCAGCAATCACAGTTGTTTTAAAGAACAAAGGTCTGGGGAGATAGATCAGTGGAATAAGTGCTTGCCTGGCAAGCACAAGACCCTAGTTTGATCCCTGGTACTGAAAAAAAAAAGTAAGGATGCCATCAACTGGGTCATCCACTTGACTGGCAATGTCAGAAATTGTTGACCTGAGTCCCCTACAGCTCAACATAACAGCATGGCTTTACCTCTTATATTTCGTTTTTATACTTTTCTGCTGTGGCAAAAGGAGTAATGACATTAATCAAGTAGAGGACACAAGTGCTGGAAGAGTTGGAAAATTTTTGTCAGCGTGGCTGAATAAGAAGCATCTGGCAGGTGATGGCGTCAGTGGAGCTGTGATCTAGGAAAAGTCAGGAAATTGCACAGTGACTTACTCTCTCTACGTGTGCAACAAGTGACCAACTTAAAGACAGTAGAGAGTAGTTTGATAAATTCTGCAAGAGACAGTGATATTCATAGTACAGTAAAACTTCTAGTTTGGACAAGGCCACTGTAGAAGCCTGCAAGAAAGAATTCATGGAACTTATGAAGGCAGAAGGATGTGTTGCTCAACAACTGAAATGAGACAGGGTTCTTCTGGAAGAAGATGTTGGGTAGAAATAAGGCAGCAGAAAATGGCACTGCTGAGGCACAAACACATGAGGCCAAACTGAGCCTTTGCAGACATAAAAACTAATATGAAGATTAAACCATAACCACTCCTGCTGTACCACTTGCAGACCCCTTGTACATTCAAGGAACAGAATGTGAACAAGGCCTGACTGCCCATCACTGGAAAGCCATTGTGAAAGCTTGAGTCACAAGGTAATTGTTCATGAAATGACTGCATGAGGTATTTGTACCCACATTAAGAAATATCTTTCTGAAAACCAAAGGCCTGGATGGAATCTTTCTTTGATGAACAATGTTCTGGCACATCCTCCGGGGTTGGTGGAGGGAATGGATGCTGAGTATGACTTCATAAATGTCAATTTCTTCCCTCCCAACAGGACATCTCTTCTGTGGCCCATGAACCAGCAAGTGATCTACAACTTCAAGAAGCTGTACACGAAGGTGCTCTTCACCAGATGTTGTAATGTCAATGAAGTGATGTCCTTGACTTTGAAGGAGTTCTACAAGAAACATTTCAACATCCTCCACCACATCAACCTCACTGATAAAGCCTGGGAAGATGTCGAGAGAGTGTCACTGGATGTTACTTTGAGGGTCTGATGCACAGGCAGAGGAGACACTGTGTCCATGGGCAAGAGTGCAGGTCTGGACATTGATGGTGCAGACAGAGAGGAGCAGGTTGAGGACCAGAAGGAGGAGCTGATGATGGAAGAACTTGCTGAGCTCCAGAGTGAGCAGCAGAAGCTTTTGCCGAGGAACATTCCACTGAGGAAGAGGAAGATGGACAGGAGGTTAGCAGTAATGCCATAAAATCCACTATGGAAGAATGGACTAAGTGCCAGGATTTCTTTGAGAAGCACCACCCCAATGTAACTACAATAAACAGTGTTGGATCCAAGGTCTGATAACAGGGGGTCTTTCATTTCTGAAAGGTTACATAGGGCAAAAAAAACCCCTAAGAGACATTAGACAAAATTTCATCAAAATTTGCCTTGCAACTAAGAGACAAAGAACAAAATCCCCCGAAGGAGGTCTCCCCAATGTCCTTATGGAATGACTCTCCCTCTAAACAGTAACCTTCTCCTCTCTAACCTTCCAGTCCTCCTCGTCAGGAGTCGCCTCAACCACGGTTAGTGTTTTCTCTCTTCATACTGCACTATCCTGTACTTCGTTTCATATATTTCTGGTTAAATATATGTATGGTTCAAAACAGATTAACGTCATTTATACTGAATCTTATAGGACAATTGTATGTTGTCACCTCCGGTTCAGTTTGTGACCAGAATCAGAATGAATCAAGTTTGTGAACTGAGGTATCCCTACATGACAGGCACTGCGCTGACTTTCTTATGAACTCTGCTCTGCTCTGCAGAAGAAGTCACTTTCAGAGTAAAAACCCCCACTGCTTTTTATAGCTGCCAATAACTGTGAGCTTTTCTTGTGGCTGGCACAGCTGGCCTGAGCCACCTTTTCTCCCTGGAGCTGCTGAACCTCCCTCGCTGGGAGCTGCACGTACCTTTTCAGCTTGCTTCAGTCTTTCTTTCATTTTATTAATTATTAATTTTTGGTCTTTTTTGAGATACAGTTTCACTATGCAGTTCAGGCTGGCCCTGGACCCCTTTGTAGCCCAGGCTGGCTTGGAACTCACAGAAATCCTCCTGCCTCAGCCTCCTGAGTGCTGGATTACAGACGTGTGCTACTGTACCCAGCAGCCTGCTTCGTTCTTTCCCCTGCTTTGTGCTCTATTTCTCTAGCTTCTGTATAGTTTCTAATTTTCCTATCAGCTTGCCCCGATTCCTGTAAATCTGCTCCTTCTTTTCCCTCATTCTGTTTTTGTTTTCCAAGTATGTCTAGTCCAGGTCCCTGAGAGACTGCATTTAGCTTTAGGTCTTGTTTTAAATCTTTTCATTTGTTTTGTACTTGGGATTGAGCTCAGGACCTTGCGCTTGCCAAGCAGGCACTTATGCCGCTGAGCTAGCTCCTCGGCTTTGGGTCTTGTTTTTAATCCTCCCCATCTGGTCTCTCTTTGCTTTCTGGCCACTACAAGGTAGATATGTCTTCTCTAACATGCCTTCCAGTGATAGTGTCACCACAGGACTAAGACAATGAGGCCAAGTGACCTCTGAAACGACCAGCCAGAATAAGTCATTCTTCCTTTTAAGTTGTTTTATCTTGCATATTTATTACGGAGACAGAAAACTCACTCAAAATTAAAAACCTTACAACTATCTGTGAGAAATCCTACAATAATACATGACAATGAAAGTAATCTCTTTGTCCGTTAACACAGGCTGTCCCTTCATTACTGACGTACTTTTGTTTCTACTTCTTCCTCCAGACTGTCTTATGCAGCCCTTAAGATGTTTCCTATAGGTGTCAGAAGTGTGTCAAGCAGCCTGGAAAGTCTCTAGTAGGAGGCTCTTCTTTACTTCCTGTTGACCCAAGTTTTCATGTCACAATTTCCCTGCAGACTGAGGAGCATCCTTTAGCATTTATCGTAGCACCAATCTACTGGCAACAAATTCTCTCAGCTGTCATTTACTGGAAAATGTCTTTATTTCACCCTTCAGCTTTTTTTTTCAGAGTCTTGTGTAAACAGAATTTTCCCTTCCTTCCACCTTTAAAAACATCATTCTGGGGGCTGGGGAGATAGCTCAGTGGAGTAGGTGCTTGCCTGGCAAGCACAAGGCCTGAGTTCGATCCCTGGATCCTAATATTCTGCATGAGTCCAGCTGAAAACCTAGTTCTATCGCAATAAATAAATAAATAAATAAATAAATAAATAAATAAATAAAGTATCATTCTGAAGTGGAAAGTGTGGCTCAGGGCAGAGCATTAAATACATGTACACGTATGTAAAGCCCCTGGGCTCAATCCGCATCACCCAATAAACAAAAAACCAACAAACAGACACGCACCATCGTGTGAGTCTGGCATCCATTATTTCTCGCCCTGTGACGCATCATCCCCACCTCCCAGCCCCAGCCCCGCACCGCCCCGCTGGTTGCTTTTAAAAATTTCCCTTTAGTTTACTGCAGTTTGACTGTGATGTGACTGGTGTGCTTTTCTTTCTATTTGCCCTAATTCTGGTTTGTTGAGCTTCTCAATTTATAAGTAGAATTTTTTTTTCTTATCAGCTTTGGAAAAGTTTCACATTACTTCTGTGGGAAGTCTCACCTCTTTCTGCATTACTTCTCAGCAGATCGTTTTCTGTTGAGTGTGCGATTTTCAGGCAGAGCGGAGTTTATCTGCCAGCAACATGCTGTCCCAAAGGGCCTGAGGCTTCCATATGTCTCCCCCCCTCCCATCCCCCGTGATAAGACTCTTCGGGAAAATTATTGAAGCTTTCAGAAATTCAGTTTTCTCTTCTGCAAGAGAAGTAATTACAATCTTAAACTTTCAGGATTTTGTTGATAGATAAGTAGAATGGTGCTTACAAAGTATTTAGAAAGTATAAGCAAATGATGGGAATTATTTTATAGAAACTATTTTGGTAGAAAGACTCGGTCTAAATGCACATATAATTAATTATCCTGGAACAACTTCCTAAAAGACTTATTTGTCACAGTATCCACGATAGGCAAAGCCTCCAAGAAATGAGGTTATGGTTTGAGGTTTTTCAAGGGGAAAAAAACAATATAGCACACATTGTATAAGATTATTTTATAACGAATCACACAAAGAATCATATACAAAAAGTGCAGGAAATCTGTCCACACACTAAAGACCATAGAGTCCAGCTGAGGGCCTGGATCCTAATATTCTGCATGAGTCCAGCTGAAAACCTAGAGCCCCTAACAATGCCTCCTACAAGTATAACTGGAGTCCTAGAGCCCACAACACTGTCTTATGCAGGCCTGCTTCATGGATCTGTACTGAGAAGGCCCAAAGGTCAGTGGAGGAAGCTAGAAAGTCTGGGCTAGCAGGATGAAGGATCTGTTCTAGCAGGCTGAGAGATCTGAACTGGAGCCAGGAAGCAATGCTCAAGCTAAGAACCATGGCTCCTGTGAAAAGCACAACCACCTTCAGCAACAGTGAGGTCCTGAACTCCTCCAATGATGAGGAAAGCTGAGTTCCCATCAGGAAAGCCAATGCAAAAAGCTTCTCCAAGAGACTGAGCTGTGTACTATCTTCCCCTGTGGAACCAGGAAGCGATGCCCAGGATGAGGACCAGAGCTCCCCAAAAGTGAACCGCAGCCATTTTCAGTGAAAATGAGGTCTCGAGCTCTTCCTCCGACAAGAACAACCAAGTTCACCAAGAAAGCCATGCTGGGGCATGACACACTGCCCCAGCATAAATAGCCCAAGAGACCAGAACCTTCCAACAGTTCCAATAGCTTCTCCGAACAGCTTCCCTAATAGCCTCAACCAACTCTTCTCCAGTTCTGCCTCTTCTGCTGGCAATAATCCTTGGGTGGGCCTCCCACACCTAGCACCATGCTAACTCAGTTTAGCTGGATGTAACAAGCTGACTACCAGTTGGCAATCTGCCACAGAATGCATATATTCTTTTGTTGGATTTCAAAGGGAGACGCACAAGAAAGTACCCAGGATGGGCCTTGGGTTTGGGAGAGTTGGCAGAGACCAGTGGATAAAGTTATGCCAGCTGGAATTGATCGATAGCTTCTCTCTTGACCTGGAGGCACAAAAACTAGTTCATTAATCTTTATTATGAAATGTTTACTGACCACAGTAAAATTAACACTCTATATATAGTAATATATGCCCTGCTATAGCAGAACTAAAAAGGTAGAACAAATATAATGTCAGAATTGATGCCATGAAGTTTTCTTTCCTCAGTTACCATGGGTTTAATCTAATAAGTATTTGCTTAGATCTTGATTCTTTATCTATGTATAAGCTCTAGCACCAGAAAACCATCAGTGTCACAAGTGCAAGAGATAAGCAAGGTTTCCAAATTACCTCTTCTATTCCTTTAGACTGCTTAGAATCCCACTCTCAGTCAGGGAGCTTCTGGCTCATTATGAGGCAGGGAATTGTTGTCCCTGTCAGTGGAAGGGGCTCCTTAGTTGTTCCCTGAGTGATTATTCATGATGGGCAGATAGAAAGCAGCAGTGGAAATGCCTGGGAGTGAATGGTGACTGCCAAGAGGAGAGGTGTACAGATAATGGGGCAGTGACAGCATGCGTGTGAGAAGACAGGACAAAAGGATGAAGTGAAGGATGGGAGCCTGGCCCAGAATGAGTGTGCATGCCTGTTAGGGCTGAAGGAGCCAAGAAGAGGTTGAAAGCCTGCCTTTCTGGTGGTATCTGCTACCATCTATCTATTTGCTTAGATTATTCCTTTTGATTGGCAATATATCCTATGCATGCAAAAAATATTTTGGTACAGACAGAAGGTCAGGCATCAGTACAAAACACTTAGGTTATGATACATTCTATTAAGGGTTTTATCCTTCAGCTTTAAAAATTCTATACATATCAGTAGTTACAGTGATATTTTAGGTGTTGTTTTTGAAAAACTCATGAGGGGCTGGAGAGATAACTCAGCAGAATAAGTGCCTGCTTGGCAAGTGTAAGGTCCTGAGTTCAATCCTTGGTACTGTAAAGAAGAAGAGGGAGAAGGAGAAAAGGAGAAGG